GCTGGGGATAAAACCTGGCGCCTTGTGCATGCTTGCTGAGTGTGTGCCCTACTGCTGAGGTCACATCCCCAGCCCCACCCTTTAGTATTTTGTTTTTACTCTCTTGTAAGTATGATAGTCTTCTTAATTTCATTCTCAGATTGTTTACTGCTAATGTCTAGAAATGTAGCTGATGTCTGTGGGTTGTGGGCTGGTGTTTTATCTGAACTCATTCCTTAGCGCCATACGTTGCTCTGTTAGATTTTCATGTTAGGTGTATGCACACACGCTTCCATATATAGACACCATAATCTGATATCTGTATGTAAGACCTGTCATCCACAGGTGGGCCGTTTTACTCTGCCTCACTTTTCTGCCCTGCCCACTGCATGCCATCAGTTGTGACGACAGCCCTTGCTCCACCGCGGTCCTTCAGTGGCTAGCCAAGTCCTCTTCTCCAACCAGCTGGCTCTATGCTCTTTTCCTTTTGAACTCACAAAGCCCGTTCTGTAAATGCTTTTCTGTGCCTGCAGAGGTGATCACGTGGCTTCTTTTCTTTATTCTGCCAACGTGATGTGTTGTGTTGACCGCTTCCTGGTGTTAAACAGGCTGTGTGTTCCCAGGGTATAATGCACTTGGTCAAGGTTGGCAATCCTTTGTGTATATTGCTGGATTCAGGTAGGATCTCACTAGTATTTGGTTCAGAAAATTTCCATTTATATTTATAAGAGATATTGGTCTGTGGGGTTTTTTTTGTTTGTTTGTTTTTGTTTTTGTTTTTCGAGACAGGGTTTCTCTGTGTAGTTTCGGTGCCTGTCCTGGATCTCACTCTGTAGACCAGGCTGGCCTCGAACTCACAGAGATCCGCCTGGCTCTGCCACCCGAGTGCTGGGATTAAAGGCGTGCTCCACCACTGCCCCCCAAGGATATTTATTAAATAGTAAGATATATAGGGCTGCGTGGGTCAGTCAGATATCTAAAGGCTGTACTTAGAATAAGGAGTGAAGGAAGAGGAGAGAGAGGGCTGAGGCCAGGCATGAGGTCCTGGAGAGCACACGACTAGAGCGGCAGCTTTATGTAGGCATGAGGAGAACCCCCACTCCAGGCTAGAGAGTAAGGTAAGGGGCAGGGTGAGAGTGAGGTAAGGGGCGGGGTCAGAGTGAGGTAAGGGGCGGGGTCAGAGTAAGGTAAGGGGCGGGGTGAGAGTAAGGTAAGGGGCGGGGTGAGTCTGATGCCCCTACTCCCACCTCTAGTGCTAAGGCTGTCCTTAAAGTCTTAATCCTCCTGCTCTACCTCACAAGATTTGAGTTACAATTGTACACCACCGAACCCATTATCATTAAAATCTACCTCATGCCAGGCTATGGTGGTGCGTGCCTTTAATCTCAGCAGAGCCAGGCGGATCTCTGTGAGTTCGAGGCCAGCCTGGTCTACAGAGTGAGATCCAGGACAGGCATCAAAA